TGCTCTACACATCCAAGTGGTGACAATCGCTCGTCACTTAATGTCTTATGAATCTACAAAAATTTTTTGAACAGGCATTCTAGCATATGTTCTTTGATAGTTTACAAGGAAAACCAAATTCTCTTATCCAACACTGCGAACGAATTATTCATTGGTTTTGTGATCTTTTATCCGTCTTCCACAAGCGCCTATTTGTCCAAGCGTTCGGCTTCAGGGCTAATCGACTAGGTTCTCCTCGGGATGTCGGCATCACTCTGGCGCAGCGTTCTCAGGACTTCACCACAAAGATTTGTGAGCCATTTTTTATTGGAACAGCCTTGCACGGACAAGTCTAATACTAGTCTGCGAACCCTGAAAGATGGAGATCTCAGCTGGTCCATTGTGGTGTGCAGCATCAGCGTGTGCATTACATGGCGCGTTTGACCACTGATTGTTCCCAAAACAAATTTAAAGCCCTTATTTCTATCAATTACTTATTAATAATAATATTATTACCGCATGGCCCAACATCGGATAGTACACTGTGCAGATCCCAGCACTTTTTGCACTTGATTCCTATCCTTCCATCTTACATCCACAAACATCTTCAAACCTTTCTCGTTTGAGTTCGGCCGTTGCTACGGGACTGTCGTCTTCTTTATGAATCTCGTTGAATATCAGTTGAGTCGATCCACTAAGGCGCCCTGGGCTAGAGCACTCCCACTTGGATTGGAGGGAGTGCACTGTTCCCAGACAAGTCTGATATCAATTTTTCTACCCCAAAGTGACGAGATTGGCGGACCCGGCTCACAGTCGAACCACAGCGTGGGTAGATTGAGACATCCGCGTAATGAACGGGATCATTACCACTGCGTTACCTGCTCCCGATTTAATTTGGACCATTTGTAAACCATAGATTAATTAATATTACTTCTAGACAAGAAAAGTCCTATGTTCACCAAAGGTTTCAACACCAACTCAATCCGATAACGAACAGGAAGCACTTGAACCACATCCCAGAAGAAGTATATACGTTCATTAGAAGACGTTTTTTGACAGTAGAGAAACGGCTTATCGCATTTTAAATGTAGTGACTCTTCACTTTTAATTCAGGAGAACATAAAAAACTACAGGAACGGAATAAGGATAACACGAAAGTAGAAAAGCCGAAAACGAAGATGAAGGCAGTGCAAGTTTGTGCGGGAAATAAAGTGGAGTCGAAATCTCAGCCGATTCATGAGGGTGACTTGTACGGCCCACACTCATTCTCGCTGGTCGACGAAACATGTAAACAAAAATCCTACGTCAACACTATGCCGAAAGATGCTGGTCTAAACTCTTACGTTATCAGAGTATTTATTTTGGCTACCATTGTTATTGTATAATTTCCATGAAGACGTTATGTAAGTCTTCTGTGGTTGTCAAATCGCAGAAAAAATTCACTCTAATAGTGCCATAAGGATAAAAACATCTTCGATTTGAGTCACTCACAGAGGGAACCGCATATTGAACTTAATCCTTTTGAGTAGTCATCTGTTCGTGAGCAGTAGGCGCCAGACTACAGTTCATCATCATATTTGAATCTAGTGATCCGCTATCTAATGCAAAGGCAATGATTCAAATATAATGAGTACTTTACAACGCACAGAGCTACATAGACCTATGTACCTGAGGGCAGAATAACAATGACGTTTCCTTTAGGGTTTGACGTGTCACATATAAAGGATAAAGGATAGAACCTTCGACGTTAGCAATCCCACTGAGATTCGCCGTATATTTGACCTCACCATATACGCAATTCAACACAGATCCGACCTATACAGTAACTTGTAGAACTTGGCGCTACGTCAAGTTAATGTTTTCACCTTCTCAGATAAGTCTGATAACAATTTACAGATTCTGGAGGAATGGGAGACTTAGTTAGCTCAGCGTACGAGATCGGACGAACCGTCATGTGCGTCCTCTCTCACCGTTAACCACTGGCCACAAGCACAGCGATATTCAGTTTTTCCTATCATATCAAAAGATGCATCGATGAGTCATTATTGAATGGTGTTCACACTTTTCGATTATAGGTGCACTCTGAGATCCACAGGCCTATTTAATAACCATCTGACTTCATAATCACTTATCAACAACAATAGAGACCTCTAAATTAACTCTCTAATCTCATTTCTCATCTCATCAGTCACATTCGCAGCTAATTCGGGAAGCAATTCGATCTTATAAGTGCTTCCACACCTCAGCCTTTGAATTAACCAAGAACGTGAACTCTTTCTCAATATCCTCGTTTTCTGTTTGAACTTGATACTTCAATGAGCCTACTTCTGCAAGAACTGTGTTGGTCACAGTGCAATTTGTTATTGACTAGTATGTTGCTGGATGAGCAACATTGTCTAGAATCCCAAAAAACTATTATCACAGCAGGCTAACATCAGCTATTGTAGATGAGAAGACGATTCTCGATCTTACGACAAAGCCTCTTCCAAAATAGGAATGACTCCATAGGTTTCCTTAGGAATAATCTTTCAGAAACGATGAATCGTCTGCTCTTATTAACAATTTGACACCCAGAAATGTGAATTTGTTCCGATGAGGTGATTAACACAGTTGAGTGGGAATATCCTTTCATTCCGCAAAAAGCTTTACAGATTTCATCCTGTAGGGCGAGTAGAGTAGTATAGCGCAGTGGTCGAAGGCACCCTGCTATACACATGAGACCGATACCTGCACCCAAAGCTCACCAATTCGTTTTTTTAAACAACTCACTTCAGGATGTCGTGTCCAATTATAGGAAGCCCTTGCGAGAAGGCCTTTATTACAGAAGGAGTTGTTAAATCAACAATAAACAACGATAACTTTTTCGCACAAGCGGATCCGTTTGCAGCTGAGAATGATGCGTTGGATGTGAGTTGTACAAGAAAATGTTCCCATTAAAACCTGTTGGTGCTTAGCAAGAATGTCCAGAGAATACCGGGAGAATCACACTCAACCAGAATTAATGGCGTTCATGAAAAAAGCAAAATCCTCCATTCGTATCAAAATCTGCACGTAAATCGGAGCACCTTTGTGTACGACGGGGCAAAACAACGCACTGAATGACAACTATTCAGAGCCCAATATTATGTGAAAACGGGCTTATTGAATAAAAAAAGTAAACGGCTGCTTTTGATCAATTCTTAACTCCTCCTTAACAAGGTGATGCGCCCACGCAGCCTCCCAACTGACCGCATTAAGATTCCTGTCATATGACGGAAATCCATCACATAATAAGGAGCTCTAGGCGTTGATCACTCCCTATGGAGAGACCAAGCATTCGATATTATTTAGGGAAGTAGAGGTGACCAAATGAATAATTTGCAGTAACTCCCACGACTGACTTTCTATTAACTTCGACAATGATCAATTCATCGTTTTTTGTTGAGCAAACACGAGGTGCTATTATTCTTTATTCACGAATAAGCTGACGTTTCGGCGGATTTCGTCTTCCTCAGAGCCTGGAAAGGTCAAGTTGATAGCAATCCACTCGGCCAGACGCCTCCATAACCAAACAAAGAAACTCCAAACCAAGATTTCAATCACTTTGAACACAGCTTTGCACACTCACCGCTTTCTATGAGGTTTCCACTAAGTATGTCACGTAGAGACCAACCGCACAGAAATCACGTGGAAGTATAATGTGCCCCTCACATCAGAAAAGCAGTTCTATGTACTGCCCTATATCACGCGTGATAATGAGGCATTCTTCCCTGCAGTTCATTTTCGGATTTCTGGAATTAATCCAGAGTGCCTCGAGAGTTTTTCGCGCCTGTGTTCTTGATTCGCGTGCGAGGATCGTGACACATACTTCAAAGTCGTCCTCGTTATGTCTCTGGGTCCTATGCGTGCCTAGCGGGGTATTTGGTCTATTTTTGCCGGCTAGGTGTTCTTTCATGCAAACACAGAGGAGTCTACCCGTTTCGCCAATGTATTCGTCACCACACGTCTTACAGGAGATCAGATAAACTATACCCGAGCTCATGCAATCACCGTCTCTACCACTGGGGCAAATTATGCAATTTTGAGTTGCACATAGACGGTCATATAGGCGGTTACGAACTAGCTGGCGCTTAAGATTACTCGGTGGCATTTCAACTACGCTCACCGAATTCTCTAAACCAGCCCTTCTTAAGCAGCGTTTCATTGCAGTACTTATATCATTTGAGATGAAGGGTAGGATAAACGGGACCCTTCTATCGCTAGAGATGTTGTTTGGAGACCTAGGATTAACCCTACACCTATCCTGAGCTACAGTTTCGTAGTCATCAGAAATGGCTATTTGCCGTGCCAAGTTCCTGGCCTCCTCTCTCTGCTCTCTTCCCGTGCACATGTTGGTTGCTGTTCGAAACATGTTTCTTATAAACACCCTTTTCGTGTGAGAGAGGTGAGAGGAGAGGTAATGAACCAAGATTTGTTTACTACTTGGCTTTCGATACCACTTTGTAATGTAGCCATTTTCAGAAAGGTGAATTTGTACGTTCAGGAATGGAAGCCATTTTTCTTTCGGTTCTTCTCGGGTGAACTTGATCTACTCTGACTGTTCATTTAACAACTCGATACATTTGTCCATTTTCTCTTGAGTTGAGCAAAGGACAAAGCAGTCGTCCAAATACCTAGAGTAGAGTAGCGGCCCGAGATCAGTTACCGGTGCTAAGAGACATCAAACAGATCACAGTAGGATAGGTAATGTGCCAGAAAATTCAAGGCTAACCCTGTTAGGAGGCATGACTCTCCCTTGACGGTGCGCACTCGTTATTAGAATTGGGGCCGAGTTTCTCACCATCTGAACCCATTTCTAAGATAATATTGCGTAGGGTCGCATGTGGTTTACATGAACTTCAAGATAGACTCCGCAAAAAAGCTAGAGATGAAGCGCTAAATAGGTGCGAACAACATCAAGTGGGGCCCTACCAATAGCACCATTTCCCCCGACGTTCTTTAGACAACAAGATCCCAATAATGAAGTTGATGTTAATTTTCGGATGTTTGCGAATGAAACTCTCAAAGTCCTTAATCACTATCGCGCGAAAAGACACAGCTCAAGCCTCACTTTAGTGCAAAAACGTGGTATGCGAGAGGTACGAGAGCTGATAAGGTTGAAAACCATAAGACTATCCGTTAGTGATAAGGGTGGAGAGTTTGTCGTAATTCCTTATCAGTTAGATGTGGAGGTAACGAAAAAGCATCTTGAAGATGCTTCGCTTTATCACCCATCATCTGAGAAGGAATTTAAAAGAAAATACCGAAAATTGAACCACGAATGGGCCAAAATGGCAAGGGCTGCTGGTTCAAAACCATCAGTTATCTCTCAACTTAAAGTTGCTTTACCAACTGTCTTGTACTTACTTATAAAAACTCATAAGTTAGTATCCAGCGATGATCTTGCGTCTAACGATCCATCACTATTTAAGGTTAGACCTATCATTAGCCGCGTAGACGGGCCAACGGACAGGATAACATGGTTTTTAACCCTAATATTTAACCAGTTGTTGAAACACATTCCAGCCCATCTTACGAATACCCAGATGTTTCTGGATCGTCTACGTACTGCGCAGCCCAACAGCGGGTGCGTTATGGAGTCCCTCGACGTTACCGCCCTTTATACAAACGTGTCGAATGACTCCGCAATGCAAGCCGTACTTGAACTCCTTATGCAACACGAAGGAGAAATAAATATGTATGGCTTCAAGATAGAGCAGTTGATGGCACTCTTAAAAGAATGCTTGAGCTGCTCAATCTTCAGATGGTCCGGAAAGTACTACGCTCAAATAAGAGGGTTGGCAATGGGACAACGACTGGCTCCAAGCCTTGCCATTGCNACATTCCAGCCCATCTTACGAATACCCAGATGTTTCTGGATCGTCTACGTACTGCGCAGCCCAACAGCGGGTGCGTGATGGAGTCCCTCGACGTTACCGCCCTTTATACAAACGTGTCGAATGACTCCGCAATGCAAGCCGTACTTGAACTCCTTATGCAACACGAAGGAGAAATAAATATGTATGGCTTCAAGATAGAGCAGTTGATGGCACTCTTAAAAGAATGCTTGAGCTGCTCAATCTTCAGATGGTCCGGAAAGTACTACGCTCAAATAAGAGGGTTGGCAATAGGAAAAACGACTCGCTCCAAGTCTTGCCATTGCATTTATGTCTAAGGTGGAAGCACCGGTGACTGATCTCGGGCCGCTACTCTACTGTAGGTATGTAGACGACTGCTTTGCTTTTTGCTCAACACAAGAGGAAATGGACAAATGTTTCGAGTTGTTGAATAAACAGTCGGGGTATATCAAGTTCACCTGAGAGAAACCGAAAGAAAAACAGTTTCCATTCCTGAACGTCCAAATTAACCTATCAAAAAGTAACTACATTACGAACTGGTACCGAAAGCTAAGTAGTAAAAACATCTTGGTACACTACTTCTCTTCTCACCCTTTTCACACCAAAATAGCGCTTGTAAGAAGCATGTTTCGAACAGCAACCATCGTGTGCAAGGGAAGAGAGCGGAGAGAGGAGTCCCGGAACTTGGCGCAGCGAATAGCCATTTCTAATGGCTACGAAACTGTAGCTCA